AGTGATTTCATACGGCTGGTCATGAAGCTTATCTTGGGAAGGCTCTCAAATTTATTCCTCTGCAAAATAAGTAATTTCAGATCTGTCAGAGTGCCACAATTCTGAAACAATTCATCCGTCAGGGCATTGTGAGAAAAATTTAAATACTGAAATGAGCTTGTTCTGTTGGGGCAAAGCATGTGTGGCATATATGCATCATATATTGTCAAACTGGCAATATTCATCTCTGCAAACTGTCTGTATAGAATCTCCTGGTTGAAATAATAAACCTTATTACGAACATGCTCCATAGTTAGCACTTTCATGGACCCACCCAAAGAGATTAATTGTTCCACAGAGCTTAATAAAGGTAGAAATTCATATTCAGTCAACTCGCCCAGTGGTCCCCGAAAAGTCAAGTTTCTCACAGTCAAATGTTCCACAGGTGAATACCAAATAAGCAGGAAAATTTGCAAAATGATAGCCCATTGCAAGTCCACGGTGTCAAGCATCAGTGTTGTTGTCTTGATTTTCTTCAGAAGCGTTAAAGAAGGAGAGGGAAAATCTTTGTAGCTCAACGTATATAATAAATTAACTATTTTTAAGTTTTCTGCAGTGCTCATTCCATCATACAAGAGGGAAAAACTGAAGTTTTGAGTTGCTGCAAAAATAATGTGGAGGCTGTCAGACTTTGAGGCTCATACAGAGAAAAGTCTTCTAGGGTTAGGAAGACAGTGTGCAGCTCCAAATGCATGATATACCTGAAGTCCGACCTTCGTATCATCGTGGCACTTAATCCTAGGTACTCCAAATCAAACATGCTCCTGAATTCCTGACAGATGGGCAGGGCAGTAAACTTATTGAAAGAAAGATCTAAATGTCTAAGATATGCAAGAGTTTGACAGTAAACTTTCAAAATGTTATTATGTGATAAATCTAAGTATTCTAAATCTTCATTAAAAATGAAGACACTAAAGTCAAGCTCCGTAATTAGATTATGAGAAAGATTTAATACTTGAAGGTCAGAAAGAGAAATAAATTCTGAGATACTAAGTCCAGAGATCCTATTATGTGATAAATCTAATACATGAGTATGGACTGGAATGTTTTTTGGAACATTAGTTAGCAAACTGCTTGAATAATTTGCAATAAATTCATTTTCCACAGTTGGCTGGATATTATTCCATAGTGTGAATGTAAAGACACAAGCAAAGACATAGATATTTATAAGGGGTCTCATTATGCTTTCCAGGTTTATCTTGTTTTTTTACAGACACACAGAAGCATATCTTTGGGTTTTGTTCAATATGTCTCAGTGATGAGTCCAGCTCTGTGAAAAGAAAATACATGGAATTTGCTGAAATTGTCAAACTGTTGAATTTGCTTTTTATTGCTAAAATAAAATCCAATACAAAATTTATGTAATAAAATTTTTATTTTTACATACTCTTGTTCTAAGTTCTTATCAATCCTCCTCACTCCCATTCTTTAATTCCAATTATTGATTTTCTCTGTGAAGTAGAACTTAATTCCTTTATAATGGGAGGAATACAATCAATGGTATGTTAAAAAACCAGAGATGTTAAGAAATACAAATTTTTCAACAATCTTGAAAAATACAAAAATGGTACAAACAGACAACAATGCATTTAGGAGTAAAGGAGAACACAACAAGCTTCCCATGTGCTCTTTCCGTACACCCCATGCCCACACACATTTGGGGACAGAATTCCAAAAGCTCCATGGACCCTCACAGGAACTGGTGCAAAAGCAACCTCTTCAACTCAGAAGAGCCAAAAGACCCAGGACATGGCCACGCACCCCGTGAGGGTCAGCCGATCAGAGAAGCTGAACAGCTTCATCTTCGCTATAGCAGAGAGACATAGGGGTCCATTCTTCCAGTAAGCCAAGAATCTTGAGGAGGAATTATACGGTCTTGTGAATATTGTAATGCCAGTCTGGCCAAAAGCGCACTAACAGGAAAACTACAGCATAACTGGACACTACGTATGAAGCAGTGGTACCCAAAATCTGAAAGAAAACACTTGACACTTCAAAAGACTCCAGGATTTCCTAGGTATCCTAGGCAATCTCCTACATTTTCCAAATTACCTCACAGTTGCAACTTGACAAAGAACTTTTCTAGAAACAGTGAGGGACAATGAGTCTAGTTCTAAGGATCAAAAAACGCAGTGAGGGAAAGATATTGTGGATATGGAAAATGGCCCAGCAGAATTAATATCTGGTCATGTCTATCAACAGCCTACATAGACTTGGAGAGGCATCAGTCCTATCATGAAAAACCATGACCTGGGCATTACTCTCTTGTTTTCAAGCATTTAACACAACACACAAACAACCTGAAGTATGAGCAACTCATAAACTGCTTCAGGAGACAAACATCCCCATTTTTTTTTCCTGTGCAGATTTTTGTCTGTAAAAAACCCAAAGTTTTAAAATTCTACCCATGTAATCTTTTTGTTAAATAAAAACCCAAAAGTCTATTTTTTTCAGTTCTAGGTTATAATGTGTTTTAGTCCCTAATAATTTGATTGACTAATATCAAAACTCATCCCTTCACCTCCAAGTCTCCTACCAAGCTTAATCAAGCTTTATTTCAAGTAAAGCAAAAATATGTGTAATTAACACCACCAAAAGCAATAAAAGAAAACTCACTAAAGTATAAATTTCTACCTCAATAAAATCCAATTGAGAGGTCAAATTCTACCTTCAGAAAGTTGTGCTGGGGTACCTGAGCACGGAGTAGAAATGAAGCTGGGATGGTTGGTCAAAGCACAGTATCACTCACAAGAAGAACCAAACCAAGGAAATCTAACCCAGCTTCCTTCAAAGAGCAGCTGACCCTGTTCTTCAGAGTCCAGGCTGGTAAAGAACCTCGTGAATCAAATAAACTTTGATCTGGAACTATCTGGAGGAACATCACCCTGGGCAAAAGGGATGTCAGGAACAAAGCAAGAAATGTTCTGAAGGGAGAAAAAAACAGGGAAGATATTCACTGTCCGTGCGCCATTGCCAGACAAGTTTTAACTTACTCTGCACGTTATGCTATACGCTGGGACAAGGGACGATCCACACTGTATAGCACTGAAGAGTGCCACATTCAAAGAATAAAGCAGCTATGTCTAGCAAAGCAATATTAAGGATCAACAGTTACCCCTCCAACACTATTTTATGATGGTATTAAATTAGAGTTGGCTGAGAATGAAAATTGCCATACCAAACTTTTTTCCCCTTTCTTCTTTGTTGAACTTCAACATACAGATAAGCATTTACAATAAAATTTCAAAATGCAGGAATATCTTCCAACAGTGAAGAAACACCAGCACCTGAGATTTGACAGAGTCCAAAATACATATAACAAAAAGAAAAAAATTTAAATAATGGCGTAAATGTAACCCACCTTTTGTGCATGGCATTCATCTCTGAGCAAAGAAACAGCAAAAGTCCTCTGCATACTTGGTTAACATCCTCAAGCATATGTAATTTGCAAGCCAGGGAATCTCACATGAGATGCTAATTTCTTAATAATTACTACCTTAGGAAGTAGAAAGAATAGGGTTTTCTTATATAGGCTATATAAATTTCCCTTCAATGCAGGTATTAAGAGCACAATGAAAGGAAACTTTTAACAGTACACACTCAAAATACATTTACTTCTGTAGTATTTACATAACTGTACGGTTTAGGAGGAAATAAACCAATCTGCGGTACAGAATATTCACCAAGGCAGGATTGTTTAAATAATTCTGCATTTCTAATTTCATATCTACTTCTGATGGTTACACAGATGTTCTAGAAATTTGTCAAGTGCATCTCCTCTTTTGCACACACAGAAAAGAGGAAGCAGAACCCTCACCATCAACTTCTCTTCATATCAAAATCTCTTGCAGAGCTCTAACCCGCTGAGTTACTTTCCTCAGCAAGCAGAAGAATTAATGTAGCACACTGACAGATGGCAGAAGCTTAGATCTCAAAAGCTAGTAACAGGGGCAAACTGGCACGGTTCAAAACCTTTACAGGTCAATCATCTTTACACTAGCGATGCCTCAGATGGTTATCAGGGATACCCCACATTGTAGCTTCCTTCAAAAAATTATAAAATGTGAACTACAGAGAATATTGTCTATGATACAAAAGCTGTAAAGAAGCCATGAAGTATAGAGCAATATAGTGCAATCTGGAGATGGAGGAATCCAATAAAGCAGCCATTCAATTAGTGTTTTGAACAGGGGCATGAGTCCAGCAAGCAAATCAACAGAGCAGAGTATGAGTGCACTGCAAAGGCAGATGTAAATAACCAAAACCAACACCTCACTCCCATAAGCCTCCAAACTAATACAACATGCTTCGGTGAGATTAATTAGCAAGGAAGAAAGAAGCAGAGATGAATAAATGAATGAAGATTTATTTAATCTTAATGAATTTTAAGATTAAATTAATGAAGTGTGTAATGAATTCTTCAGGTATCAGCAAACTAGGGGGAGAGGGGGCACCTGGGCCTGTTCTGGACTCAGTCTAGAGCTTCCTCCACTCCATAAAACTGCGCTTTGGAGGATAGCTGAAGGCAAGAAGGGATTCAGCTAAAGAAGCTGAGAAGTATGAAAATTTAATATAGATAGTAGTACCAGTTATATTTCAAGCTTGCATTAGATGCTTTTGAAACTTTTCTTTTGCAATTACCTTTTCAATTTTGTAAAGAAGAATTTAATGCTTTGCTGAAAGAAAATTTCTGGGTTTCATGTTGAGATAGATGAGTAAGGTAGTCTGAACTGAAACTGAACTGAAACCATTCTGCTTTCCTCGCTGCAGCGAATCTGAGTAATACATTACAGAAAACCCTGAGAAATCTGTGACCCAAGACAAGATCAGGGACCATGAATGTTTGTCAGTAAGCAGCAAGTGTCTGCTTGTCAGCTGATACTGTCCTGTCTTCAGGTCAAAGGAGAAGTTCCCATTGCTGGGCATTAATCCATGAAAATGAACAGACTAAGGCACTTGTTGACAGAAGAATAATATCACAATTATGCAAACCAGTGGCAGTTTTATTTCCCATGTAACCCATGAAAAAACTTTGCTGCATGGACAAAATCAAATACACCATCAGCTTTTATCAGAACTGACGCCAGTGCACACATAGCTGGGAAAAGCAAAAGTATCTACACCCTTACTTGTGGTAAGTTCAATTTGCTTACCACCCTTCTTTATGAGACTTTAAAATACATTCAAATAGACTCTTTGCCATAAAGAAAAATTTGCAGGTAGTTAAACTGATACTCCTGAATACCTATTAAATCATTAGGAACATTGCATATTTTTACTAACCAATTCAGCAAAGCTTGCTTTGGGTCTGGTTTCAGTTTACTGATTAAGTCATTTTGCATGATAGGCAAAAACTAAAAGCAGTGTATATCTGTTCATACATCCTGAAATGTACCAGCTAAATACCATCCTTTCCACAGTCAGCATACATACACTCATGCAGATGCCTTGTTCCATTCCTGAAGTTTATACTGCTGGGGTTTTTTGCAGCTGATTCTATCAATGTGCACCTATCTTCACAAACAGCCTTTCCTCAAGGTACATTTCACACTTCTGCCTGTATGTTGTGATTACTTACCCAGAGAGGAACCGCAGCTACACTTGGCTGGGTATCAGAAGTCATTCAGCACCAGCACCGTGCCCAAAGCTATGAAAAATCTCTCCAGCTGGGAATACAGAAAGGAAGTTACATATGTGAAACACCGAGTTAAAACACAGCCAGAGCAGATGGACTCATCCAAGCACTCATGAAAAGTTAATACAATTATTAAAGGTTGCAAAGCCAGTGTTTGGTCATATAGAGGACCTTATCTTCAACTGCAATGTCATTGTCACAACTTAACCCTGTGTGTCAAGTAGGCGAAACAAGGGCTAAATGCCACAAGTCAAGGTGAGCAGAGATTGTATTGCATTTATGCCCAAGCCACAAGGATCAAAGCTGTGGAAACCCAACTGGTAACACAGAGCCACCTTGCAGAATACGGAAATTTCTCACTTATTGACTTATCAATACCGCTTCCTCTTGACCAAACAGTGACTACAAATGAGCATTATAGTCAATCTAAGTAAATGTTTCTGAAGGAAAAACCAGCCAAACTGAAGCCCTGAGTAAAAACATGGGTTTCACAGAGGTTTTGAACCTTCCCCTCAGCAGAATACCTCATCTCCTGGAAAGTCCCA